CAAAACTCGAGGGCCAGTGGTCACCTGGTTCAACACTCACATTTCTCAGATAACGAAAAGACAACAAAAGAGAAAGAGAAGTTGTAACCCGAGAGGCAACAAGAGAACCAGGAGTATTGTGTTATTGATACGGAGGGGAGAGATGGCATAAAGGAGGGGGCTTAGCCCTTTGACTCCACCGGGGTTATGAATCTGAGCAGTTTTCACAGGGGCTTTTAAGCAGTTGCCGGTTCTCACAGCTGATCACAAAAATGCTTCATTTGGCTTATGAAAGTACTGTGCATTCCAGGCATTTATATGGTCTACTTACCTACAGATCACTATGGTGCAATACAGTTACCATGTGAAGATCTATAAATTTGCATCAGATTTACTTTATCAGTTTTGTTTGATTGAAACACTAAACTCAGTTTATGCATGCTCAGCCTTCATGGTCCATTGGCGGCTTTGATATCTGCTCCCAATTTAAGAGTCTAAGAAATATGATGTCATTACCTTAAACTCTTTGTCTGCTTTTGTTGACTTTTTTGCCTTAGATCCCTAGTGCCCTCATCCTCCCTACCCCCTCCCTAGACATCTCCCCAGTCTCCTTTTACCCCACCATACCATGTTCCTTATCTTTGCCTTTTCCATCAAAATGTTATTATTTGTGTCCCAATCCCTCAGGCAGGTGCTGATCTACTGTAACATGTTAACTCATTACACCATCCAGAGAATATGTGGGTATTTTAACAGTAGTATTCAAGAGATAATGCCTTAACTCAAATGATCTTGCCAATGTGTTTTTGCGTTTGGAACAGAATTTCTGTAGTGTTCTAGGCTACTAAGAGAGACTCTTTAATCAGGGGGCCTTTTGGAGGTCTCACAAAGCACCAGGTGTACCACACCCAACTCCTACAAGTCTGCTTTTAGAGTTTCAATCGTTTGGGTCATAAAGAATTTTTATTTCTGTCCCCTCCTTCCTATTTTAGCCACCATCCTGCACAAGCCCTTTTGAATGACCAGACTCCAACCTGGACTTTCAGAAGAATCTCCTAACCTAATCCGCCCACTTTTACTCTTTGTGTCTCTCTTTCTCTCTATCCCTCCCTCCCTCTCTCTCTATGTCTCTCTCTTTCTGTCTCTGTCTCTCTCTCGCCTCCCCTCCCTTACGGTCTCTCTGTCTCCCTTTCTCCCCATCCTTCCCTCATTCCTGTCTCTCATTTTCTCCTCCTCTCTTCCCTTGCCTCCCTTTCTCTTTCTCTCTCTTACAATTCTGAAGTACTCAGATAGCCCTGCAAAGGGGTAACACTTTAAGCTGTTCTTTGGTAACACTTCAATAAGCGCTAGTTAATCAGCATATAGAATATGGCTCCAGAGGAATGGAGCTAGAGCTAAGGGCCTGGATCTGATGGGAGGAGTTCCAGCACAGGATAGAAGAGATGTCTGAAAGCAAGAGGTGGGAGGGAATCAAAGAAAGCTGTCACTGTCACAAATTCCCTCATCCTCTCACCCCCTCCCATTATTCCCTAAAGAGTGTGTGTGTGCGTGTGTGTGTGTGTGTGTGTGTGTGTGTGTGTAAGTAAAGTAGCCTGGGAATGTGGTTTAGGGAAGGGCCAACAAGCACTGAATTTCCTCATCAGTGAAATGACGGGCTTGGGTTCGATGACCTCTGAGATCCTTTTTAGCCCAGACCACTATTCTCTTATGAGTAGGGCTGCCCAGACTGGCTCCTCCTTCCTCAAATGGTGATGATAGGAGAGAGCTGAGATGTAGGGGAAAAGTGCTTTGCAGCTGGAAAGCACCCAAAATATTAGCGGTCAAAATCAAAGCATTCCCTCCTCCTGTCTCTTACCGTCCATCCTGTCGGCTTTAATTCCAAATACGTCGATTTGGATGCTGCCAAACCTAGAAGAGTAGAGCAGGCATCTGCCCAGGCAGGTTTCATCATTACCATTTCTAATAATCATTGATAGTCTCCAATAGAAACCTGAAGGTTCAGTCATTGAAGGCCTCACCCCCATCCAAGCAGCAGGATTTCATAAGAAGATTGGAACAGTTGTTTCTCCCAAATGGGAAAAGTCCTACTGGTGCTGAAGAAGACAGATGGCTCTCTGTCTGACAAGTTAGTGATATGGAGCTGAAACACCAAAACACCAAGGCAGGATTCTATTGTTTTTGAAGATCGATCAATCATCCATCAGTCTGTCCATTGATGAAGCAATGAATGAGTTTGCTAATGGATCCATTTGTTAATCAAAAAATAGTAGAAAAATCACTAGATTTGGAGTCAGAATGCCTGAGTTTGGATCTCAGTGGTGCCAATCTCTAGTGCTTTGATGTATGTAAATCGCAACATCCAAACCCCTGTTTCCTCACCTAATAAAGGTTTGGACTAAATAAGCTGTAAGATCTCCTCTGGCCAGGGATATGAAGGTAAACATTTAACAATCAGCTCTCCAAACTCACTCCCCCAAAACAACAAAATAAAAAAAAAAAGACACACTTCTAGGTTTAATTTGAATTATTAACATTTTTCTCTGTTACTTTCTTAATTCTAGTCAATCAACCAAACAATAAAGCAAGTCTGATTTGCAGCGTTTGTTGATTTCTGGGTTACTAAATGTTCACACTAAAAATTTAACCATCCAGAGGGCTGGAATGAGCTGGCTCCTGCATACCCCTTCCTCCAGCCCTAAAGTCTGAAAATCTATGAAGATGTAACTAGTCTTGAAGGGGGCATGCAAAGAAGGATAAGATCTAGTCCTTCTCAGGGAACCTGCAAGTCCAATCAGGTAGAGAAGACTCAGTTACTAGTAAGACATGAAGTACATGATTCATTACCAGATGAAACCAGGCTGTAATTAGGAATTCTGTCACTTTGGGCAAGAGAGGATCTGGATCCTAGGAACACAAGCAGTGGTACGCTGGAGCTAGCTCCTACCAGGAGAGAGCCTTTTGTTAAATGTTTGGTGTGAGCATTTATAACTTGGAAATCAGCAAATGGTACAAATCAGGGCTTGGTTTATTGTTTTGTTGATTAGACTTAGGAAAGTGATGGAGACAATGTTAATAATGAAGGTGAAACTTGAAGGTGTCTTGAATACTTTATTTTTTCAGATAGCCACTTGTTAAACATTTATCAGCACACTGCTGTAACAAGGTTTTATGATGGAAGAGACTTTGGTACACTACCCTGGGGGGAGGGGGAGGGTGGTATACATAGCCTCATGGCCATCATGAAGACTGTGGTGAGCATAGTGAAGGGCTGAGCTGGAGTGGAGCTCACTTGCTGTGGCTGCTGTGGAGAGATAACTCACAGCATATTCTTGCTAACTAGGTGCTAAGCCTATTTGTTCATACTTCTGAAAGTGTAAGAGTCATCAGTGGCCTCTGTATTTGGGTCTTGGTCTCCTACTCTGGTCATGGCTCCTAGCACAGACAATAGCCAGATGAGGAGGAGGAGGACATTATGGGCAGAACAATCAGAGGAAGTTTCGCAGAAGAGGGAAGGCTTGGTTGATCTTGATGGATAAACAAAATCCAGATATAGAGGAAGATATATCAGGCAGGGGAAGTAACATGAGCAAAGCCAAAGAGGCAGACATTAACAAGGATGTTTTCAGTGCACAGTGACTGCAATGTCATGGGCCAAGTGGGCAGCATATGGAGGGGAGGAGGCTGGGAAGGTAGGTTGGAATCAGACTGTAGAGGTCTTTAATGCCAGTCTAAAGAGTCTGGATATTGTACTGTAAGGCAGCCGAGAGCCTTACCCCATTCCTTCAGAGCTTATTCTCCTCCTTCAAACTCTTTGCCTTTGATCTTTCCTCCCTGCTTTGGTCCTTCCTACACAGTTCCATTTTCCTCTTAGGATGCTGGGTGATCTTTTGCTTTATCTTGCTTGGAACCAGGCCTCCATGTCATTTATTGGCCACCATTTCCGTCCAAACCATGCTGCCTTCTAACCCTACTATCCCTTCTACCCCCTTTTAGCTCCCCTTTATGTGTTGACTTTCCCCATTAGAATGTAAGCTCTTTGGGGGCAGGAACTATCTTTTTTACTTGTATTTGTATACCTGAGACTTAGCATAGTGCCTGGCATATAGTAATGATGCCTAATAAATAAGGCTTAATAAATATTCTATCCATTTATCTATCTATTTATCATCTATCTACATCTGTCTATCTACCTACCTATCTCCCTAATTACTCCATCTGACTATCTATCTATTCATCTATCTACGTATACCTATGTATCTACCTATTTACCTCACTAAATCTATCTACTCAATTACACCTACCTATGTGCCTAACTCACTCTGACAATCTGCCTATCTGTCTATCTACCTAACTAAATCAATCAATCAAACTATCTATCTATCTATCTATCTACCTATCTATCTGAAAGGGACGAGGCTGAGGTACTTTTTTATATCTTAGAGGGAAGGGCATGCTCAATAAATTAATAGGGTTAACAAAATTGCATTGGAGGGGATTAGCTTATTCAAGGGTGAGGAAACTGTTTTCAAGGACCTTTGAAATCACTTTATTTGCATGCCAATAATGAAAAAAATGGCAGCTAGGTGGCACAGTTGATAAATCCCAAAGTCTAGAGTCAGGAAGACCTGAGTTCAAATTTGGCCTCAGATACTAGCTGTGTAACCCTGTTTGCCTCAGTCTCCTCATCTTTAAAATGAGCTGGAGAAGGAGATAGTAAACTACTTCAGTATCTTTTCCAAGAAAAGGAGATAGTAAACTACTCCAGTATCTTTTCCAAGAAAACCCCAAATGAGGTCATGAAGAGTTGGATGTGACTAAAAAAACAGCTGAACAACAAAAATGAAATACAAATTATGATTGGTTATCTATTTATTAAAGCACGACCTTGCAACAGTTGATTCTTCACCTGAAATCAATACTGTGCTTTTACAAGACAGTTTCTAACTCTGATTAAGTTGAAGTTGTTGACCAGGTGCTGTATATTGGTCCTAATAGTCTTTTTCCTGTCCTTGCTTCCTCAGGTGCCCCTTTTCAAAGGTCTCAGCATCCTCACGCTACCTCCTGCCGCCACTTCCACTTGGGTCCCCCCCAGCCACAGCAGCTCACTACGGACTTCCCCATCGCGCATCCTGTGCAGTCCCAGCCGGGCCTCAGTCCCCACATGGCCCCGGCCCACCAGCACAGCGGCACCCTCCACCAGCCCCTGACCCCGCTGCCCACCCTCCCGTTCCAGGACGTCACAGGTCCCTCCTTCCTACCTCAGGCCCTGCACCAGCAATACCTCCTCCAGCAGCAGCTCCTTGAGGCCCAACATCGCAGGCTGGTCTCACACCCCAGGTGAGTGACTGAGAAGAGGGGCAGGGTGAGGGGCTCTGGGGAGTGGGGACACTCTTTCCTGTCTGAGTCTTGAAGCCAAGCTCCCCTGGGAGCCTGTTCCTTCCTTAGAAGTGGATGGGAAGCTTGGCCTTGGATTTGCTGACCAGGTCTGCGAGTATTGTCAGATCACCCACTGCATCAACCCTTGTTGTTTGTAGAGGAAGATGTTGCCTCAATAAATGAAAGTGACTTCCTAATAGCTAGAGCTGACAAATAAGAGAAAGTTCTGATTCATGGGATGGCGAAATCTCTATCACAAGGGAGAGGGAGGGAGGGGAGAGAGAGAGAGAGAGAGAGAGAGAGAGAGAGAGAGAGAGAGAGAGAGAGAGATTGAGAGAGAGAGAGACTGAGAGAGTGAGCAATCAGAGAAAACTTCCAGGAGGATCTGGTACTTTGAAGGATAAATGGGATTTGGACTGGTGGAGAAAAAACAAACGTGGTGATGGGAGTATATGTGCCATACTAGGAAGACAGTGAGAGGGAAATGGACCTGACCAGATTGGAGGGTCGGCATCGGGGAGGAACAGGAGATAAAGGGACCAGAGGCTGAAGGGTACTGTGAGAAGAATGCTGCACTTGAAGTCAAGGAATTTGTGTTCAAATCTCAGCCCTGCAACTTGTGTGACCTTGGACAAGTCACTTACCCTCTGTGGTCTTCAGTTCCTCATCTGTTATCATCCAACAAGCATTTATTAAACAAGCATTTATTATGTGCCAGGCATCTGTAAAATGAGGGAATTGAATGAGATACCCTCTAAAGTCCCTTCTTGCTCTAAATCTTTTTGTTTCTTTAATTTGGTGCCTTTGGTTTTCATATCACATTCATTTCTGAATGTATATATCCCTCCCTATTCCCCTACCCAGAGAACCTTCCCTTGTAACAAAGATTAAAAAAGAAATGGGAAAAAAAATGACAGTTTAGCACAACCAAACAACACACTGAGGGTATCTGGGCAGCTCTAAATCTATGATCCTAAATTGGAGAGGTAGAAGGTGCACTACATTACACCTATGAGAAATATCTAAGTACTGGACTGGGATTAGCTGGAGAATCCTTGAGCTTCCTGGACTAAGGCTTGGGTGGGACCCCTCTGGTAAGGCTTTGTGGAAGAGCCGAGGTCTCGGAAGGGTTAGAGACAAAGGGGCCTGGCTCTGCCCTGGGAGCTCTGAAGTTGATTCCCGGAGAGACTAGTAGGGGTGGGTCCCAGCATGTGCAGCTTTGCCCTAAATCAAGTGCGTCTATGCCACAGGCGGACTCAGGAACGTGTGTCCGTTCACCCTCACCGGCTGCATCCAGGCTTTGACTTCAGCCATCAACTACAGACGCCTCAGCCCAGGTATTTGGCTGAGGGCACCGACTGGTGAGTCTCCTGGGCATCCTGTGTCTACCTCCTCTCACTGTCCGGGGAGCAGAGATGGGGTACGGGCAGCTGGGAATGTGCCAGTGAGTGGGGGAGGTGGGAGAAATTTCTTGCCCGTACTGATTCCATCCTTTTACCCCTTTAATTTGAGTGGGAAATGAGACCTACTTCCTCATCTATTTACCCACTCCAAATGCCCCTTCTGCCTCTGTCTAACCCTCCAAAGGTCCAAAGGCTAGATAGCAAAACAATAACTGCTTATTGATTTGACTGTTTACTGTCCATTCTATGTCTAGGTCTGTGCTGGGGACTGTGGGAGACACTAGCAAAGGGGACCTAGACCTGGCTAGCTCCTACAGAGCTTACAGTCTAGTGGTAGTGGGGGCAGGAAATGAATACAAAATAACAAAAAAGACCACAGTATAAAAGATGTCATAAGGTGCTGTGTGGTTACTGCCAAAAGAGTAGAACCGACATCAGGAACTCCGAATCATACTGGCTATGTGACATTTAATATCTCTGCACCTCAGTTTCTTCTTCGGTCAAATTGGGATAATGATACAAATCTGCATAGTTGTTGTGAGAGAAGACACATTGAAAACTCTATGGAGATACGAATTATCATTATTTGTAACTTGGAGTCTTCCTTTGAGCTTATTCTATAGAGTCATGAGACACCCTATCCAGGTCTTGGTAGCAGTTACAACTGGCCACTAAGTTGCTTCTCCTTCCTTTCTCAAGGAACTTAGGACCTTGCTCATAGTCTTCCTTTCCACCCCAAATTCTGTCCTTATAGAAAGGGGTACACCAGCATTCATGATGGTCCCTCAACTCTCCTGACATTTATCTTTAGTCTACTCCATAACCATGTACAAGAATGATTACACCTTTGATCTCTTCATCACCCACAAGTGTTCCCCTTCCAGGATCAAGCATTTTGAAATTCCTTTTTCCTACCATAATCTCTTGTTATTCTATCCTTCCCTAGGCTTTACTTCTCCCAAACCTATTCTTCATCCATACTGTGACCTCCAGCTCCATCCCTCAGTGTTCTCCCAGCCCATCACATCTGGCTTTGCCTTCCTCCCTTCCCAATATTGACCCATCAGCCCATTCAGCTGTACACTGCTATTCTCTAATTTCTTGCTGCTTCTCCCTATCACTGCTCATATCTTGCCAAACCCTAACCCAAGATTACCTTTACCATTCATCTCCTCTAGGCCAAGTTCTACTTGGAGTTTTGATCCAGCCTTCCCCTATACTCCATTCTCTTCTGGCAGATTGCTTCCACAGTTATCCCCTCTCTCGCTCTTTAATCTTTAATCTCTGCTTATCTACTGTCCTCTTCTCTGCTATGTGCAAATAACAGTAAGTCTCATCTATCTTCAAAAAACCTTAACTTGATCCTATTATCTCTTCTCTCACAAACAAATCCCAAAATAAAAAATGCTTACCCTCCTCACCTCCACTTCCTCTCCTCTTATTTACTTCTCACTCTTGCAATCTGGTCTCTAACTTTTACAACAATTATCAAATCAGCACTCCTGCTCCTAGAAAAGCCACACCAGTCCATTTTCCTGTGGTTACGTTCACCATCCCAGTGACCTCTCAAGCCAAACTGCTCCTCCCTGGCCAACACCCCCTTATATGTGTTATTTTCCCTTATTAGAATTGTAAACTGCTTGAGTTCAGATACTATCTGTATTTCTGCATTTATATTCCCATCACTTTGCACAGAGCCTGGTACATTGTAAGTGCTTAATAAAAACTTTTTCATTCATTCATTCATTCACTCACTAATAATGAAACTAAAGTTACTCACTCCAAAGTTGCCAATGAGCTTTCTTTTAAAAAATGTTTATATAACCTTCATCTCCTAATATATTGCTTTCTCCTCTCCTACCCAATAAGCCATACTTTATAACAAAGAATAAACAGAAAGGAAAAAAAAGTTTAGCAAAACTGACACAACAGAATCTAACAGTGTATTCTGTTTTTCACACCCATAGCTGCCAAACTCCTGAAAGAAGGGAGAGACATTTTCTTATCTCTTTTTTGAGACCAAATTTGGTCATTATAATTACATGGTGTTCGGCTTCATTTTTTTCTTCTTTCCATCCCATTTTGGAGTCTCAGAGATCTCTTAATTGCTGAGTCATATGGTCTTGTTTGTCTTCATCCTTTTTGACCTCTCTGCAGCATTTGGTGCTGTTGATGACCCATCCTCAATGTTCTCTCCTCTCCTCTCATGGTTGTCGAGTGTCTCAGTCTCCACTATCTGTTTCCCATCCCCTAACTGTGGATGGAATTCAAGACTACACCTTGATCCCTCTTCTTTTCTCTCTCTATGTCTTTGACTTCATGATCTCATGAGCTTCCAAGGATTCAATTATCAAATCCAGGCAAGTAACTCCCAGGTCTATACATTGAGCCCTAGGGTCTTGCATCACCAACAGCCTTTTGGACTTTTCCAAATATATGTTCCACAGATCTCAAATTCAACATGTCTACTAACATGTCAACAATACTTATTGTATTTCCCTCTGAACCTTCCCCTCTTTCTAACTTTTCTAATTCTGTAGAGAGCAATATCATCCTTCTGTGTTGTCCAGGTTTGAAATGTAGTCTTCCTCAATCCTTCACCCTTCCTCACCTCTCATGTCCAAATCAATTGCCAAGTTTTGTCCTTTCTACTGCCACAGCATCTCTTGTATCCATCTCTTTCTCTCAACTTACAGGGCTACCATACCGCCCTAGTTTAGGACCTCAGCATCTCTTGCCTGTACTATGGCAATTGTTTCCTAATTGGTCTTCTAGCCAGGTTCTCTCTTCCCTACAGTCTATCCTCCATCAACTGCCAAAGCAATGTGCCTAAAGCTTAAGTCTGAGCATGTTAATCCTCTCATCTAAAAACTCCAGTGGCTTCTATTGCCTCTAGGGTAAAATATAGATTCCACTGTCATTCAAAGCCCTTTATGTTCTGACTCCAACCTTCCTCAACAGCATTATTCCACCTTACTCTCCTTCATGCATCCTGTAAAGCAGCTAGGTAGTGCTATAGTGTACAGAGGGCTGGGCTTGGAGTCAGAAAGACTCATCTTCCAAAGTTCAAATCTGGCCTCAGACACTTCTTGGTTGTGTGACCCTGGCAAGTCACCCTGTTAGCCATAGTTTTCTCATCTGTAAAATGAGATGAAGAAGGAGATGGCAAATCACTCCATTATCTTTGCCAAGAAAACCCTAAATGGGGTCATGAAGAGTAGGACACCACTAAAAAACGACTGAACAACATCAATGCATTCTATGTTCTAAGTCAAATTATCCTAGTTGCCTTTTCTTATACATGACAATTAACTGCCTGACCCCGTGCTTTTGCATGGGCAAAATGCCTGGAATGCACTGCCTCCTCATCACTGCCTCTTCAAATCCCTAGCTTTCTTTAAAATTGGTTCAGATGCCACCTCCTACATGAAGCCTTTCCTGATCCCTCCTGATGCTTGCCTCCCTCTTTCCCCTCATCCTTTACTTTGTATGTAGTTTGTGTTAGCCTACATGCAGGGGTGTAATGGAGCCAGTTCTGCCTTGAGAACCTGTTGTTAAATTTTTAGTGTGAACCCTTAACACCTCAGAAACTGGCAAAGTCTACAAAATAGGACTTTGGTGGTTCCCCACCCCTCCCAATGGTCTAGATTTAAGTGATGGAGAAAATGTTAATAATGCAGCTTAAAAGTAATAGTGTATGAACAGAGGTTTGTTTGTTTTTTTTGAGAGCCCCGTCAATTGTTCTGCACATACTTGTTTATATGTATTCATATTGTTTTCTTCAAAAGAATGTAAGTTCCTTGAGGGCAGGGAATGTATCACTTTTGTCTCCTTTACCTAGTGCCCAGCACAATCCCCAACAAGAAAACACTTTATAAATACTTGGGGATGATTCATCAAGAAGGCCTGAGTTCTAATCTTGCCTCTGAAACTGAATAATGTCTAGTATAGTGCCTGGCACATAGTGGGTAATCAATCAGTGTTTGTTGAATTGAATTTATAACTGTGAGATCTTGGACAAGTTACTCGATCTTTCTTAGCCTCAGTTTCCTCATCTGTAAAATGGGAATAATAATATCTGTAGCACCTACCTCAGAGTGATGTTGTGAGGCTCAGTTAGTATAATGTATGCAAAGCATTATGCAAACCTTCAAGGGCTCTGTAAATGTCAGCTACCTGCTTAACAGGTTGTTGTGAGGCAAATATGAAACTTTCAAGTGCTATGTGAATGTAGCAATTATTATTGTTGTTGTTAATTATTATTATTAGCCATAGAATCTGCAAGATCACTGTGGCTGGGGTGGTCAGGGAATATTCAGTGGAAGAATTGGTACTTAAGGTGGGCCTCAAAGGATAGATGGGATTTAAATAGGCTCCCACTCCAGGTGAGAGCAAAGATTTGGAGACAGGAACGCAGGAGGCATTTTCTGGAGGTAGGAAGACTAGTCTGGTTAGAGTAGAGGTCATCTAAGTGGCTAGTGTGAGATGAGACCAGAAAGAGAGATTGAGGCAGGACCTCAAGGGCCTCGAGAGCCAGGTTTTGTGCAATTTTATCCTATGTGATATGAGTAGCTGCTGAAGTTTCTGACAGTTTAGTTTATACAGAAGCCCTATACAGAAGCCTTTGGAAATATAAGCTCACCTCATTGATTTGGTCTAGTTTATAAGGGAGGTCAGTCTAACTTAGAGACAAGTGGGGATGAATAGATATTTAACCACGACAACAGTGGGGTTATTATGTAGTTACGTACTTGAACTGGCCTAACCAAGTGTTGTCAAGGAAGGGTCCTTTGGGGATATCATTTAATAATAGATAAGAACAAGTTACATGTAAAATTCTAATCATTGGCATTCAAATGGAATATTTACTTTTATGGAGGACTGTGGCACAGTAGAAAAACAGCCTACCTTGGACTCTGAAGACATGCTTGTTAAGTGTTGTTCCTGACACCCTGGAT